GACCAAGACTCCCGGTACTACGACTCCCGGTACAGCGACCTCCGGGACTGTGACTCCCGGTACTGCGACTCCCGGTACTGCGACTCCCGGGACTGCGGCTCCCGGGACTGCGACTGCGACCCGGACTGCGACGCCCGGGACTGCGACGCCCGGGACTGCGACGCCCGGGACTGTGACCCCGGTACTGCGATCCCCGGGACTGTGACCCCCGGTACTGCGACTCCCGGGACTGCGGCTCCCGGGACTGCGGCTCCCGGGACTGCGACCCCGGTTCTGTGACCCCCGGGACAGCGATCCCCGGGACTGCGACTCCCGGGACTGCGACTCCCGGGACTGCGACTCCCGGGACTGCGACTCCCGGGACTGCGATCCCCGGTACTGCGACTCCGGGACTGCGACTCCCGGGACTGCGATCCCCGGTACTGCGACTCCCGGGACTGCGATCCCCGGTACAGCGACCCCCGGTACTGCGACCCCCGGTACTGCGACTCCCGGTACAGCGACCCCCGGTACTGCGACCCCCGGTACTGCGACTCCCGGGACTGCGATCCCCGACCGACCCCGGTACTGCGATCCCGGTACTGCGACTCCCGGGACTGCGACTCCCGGGACTGCGACTCCCGGTACTGCGACTCCCGGTACTGCGACTCCCGGGACTGCGACTCCCGGGACTGCGATCCCCGGTACAGCGACCCCCGGTACTGCGATCCCCGGTACTGCGACTCCCGGGACTGCGACCCCCGGGACTGCGACTCCCGGGACTGCGATCCCCGGTACAGCGACCCCCGGTACTGCGATCCCCGGTACTGCGACTCCGGGACTGCGACCCCCGGGACTGCGACTCCCGGGACTGCGATCCCCGGTACAGCGACCCCCGGTACTGCGATCCCCGGTACTGCGACTCCCGGGACTGCGACCCCCGGGACTGCGACTCCCGGGACTGCGATCCCCGGTACAGCGACCCCCGGTACTGCGATCCCCGGTACTGCGACTCCCGGGACTGCGACCCCCGGGACTGCGACTCCCGGGACTGCGATCCCCGGTACAGCGACCCCCGGTACTGCGATCCCCGGTACTGCGACTCCCGGGACTGCGACCCCCGGGACTGCGACTCCCGGGACTGCGATCCCCGGTACAGCGACCCCCGGTACTGCGATCCCCGGTACTGCGATCCCCGGTACTGCGACTCCCGGGACTGTGACCCCCGGGACTGCGACTCCCGGGACTGCGATCCCCGGTACAGCGACCCCCGGTACTGCGATCCCCGGTACTGCGACTCCCGGGACTGCGACTCCCGGGACTGCGACTCCCGGGACTGCGACCCCCGGTACTGCGACCCCTGGTACTGCGACTCCCGGTACTGCGACCCCCGGTACTGCGACTCCCGGTACTGCGACTCCCGGGACGGCGACGCCCGGGACTGCGACCCCCGGTACTGCGACCCCCGGTACTGCGACTCCCGGGACTGCGACGCCCGGGACTGCGACCCCCGGTACTGCGACCCCCGGTACAGCGACCCCCGGTACTGCGACTCCCAGTACTACGACCCAACAATAAAAGATAAAAACAACTCTTGACATAAATCCGTTTTTCAAGTTCCGTTTCCCCCTGCTCAGGAGGCAGCCAGAGCCCAAGAACTAGAGCACGACTCTGATCTACACCAGAGTCCAGTAGTAACTGAAGATCAGAATGTCGCAGAGAGAGAGAGAGAGAGAGGGGGGGGGGAAGGGGGTTTACCTCTCGCTTCATGCAGGTCGGCGTTCAATCCCCGACCGTCCATAAGTGGTTGGCCACCAATCCTTTCCCCCCGTCCCATCCCAGATCCTTATCCTGACCCCTTCCCAGTGCTGTATAGTCGAAATGGCTTGGTGCTTTCACCTGAAAGTTCCCTTTCCCTTCCTTTCACATGTGTGTGTTCACAATGTTTGGTTGTTTGGTAAAGAGTAAATAACGTTTTAGTAAAGAATACAAACGTTTCAATTGCTATATATTCATAATTATAAATTATATATTGCTTGATTATATTTTATAACTCATCCTAATAGTTATCCTAATAATTTCCTAATTTCCTCATCCTAATAATTTCAGAGATGAGATTTTTTTTACCTATAGTTTAAAGATCTAAATAGTTATTGCTAGTTACTATTTCAAATTCATCTTGAAAAACAAGGTACCCCTTGTGAGCTCAGTGGAACTCCAGGTTGCAATCCTTTTGACCATGTTGTGGTTTAGTTGGCTAGAGCATGTGCGAGTGGGAACACTGTATGCATAGGTTCGATCCCTAATCACGGCTCCTACGGATTTATGTCTGATGTAGTCACATTTCTAAATGTGGAGAAAGTCAGGTGTTTCTCTCTGTTTCTCTTTCTCTCTCTTTCTCTCTCTCTCTCTCTCTCTCTCTCTCTCTCTCTCTCTCTCTCTCTCTCTCTCTCTCTCTCTCTCTCTCTCTCTCTCTCTCTCTCATCCTCCTGCCCTTACCATCTACCACTCCCTCCCCCACTCTCTATTCTACCGCTATAAGTGCTGCCTCATTAACCGCACAACAGCCCAATTCGCTCGTTACCACCAAGGGTGTGCCTTGGAGCGGCCCTGGTGGGGGGGGGGTGACCATGGTTGGCACCCTCCGTTAACTACCCATAACGATCACGGTTGCCTGTTACAGTGCCCTTGTTGGGCCGCTGGTTCAAGGGTAGTTATGGTGGACTGAGGTCTGGAACTGAGACCAGTTTTACAGAGACAGCATTTTGCTGCCTCTAATTGCTCTTGTGACTCCAGTGTCCTGACCTTTCCCAGTGGTTGTTAAGTGGTTGGCTTGTTAAGCGGTTGCTCAAGTGGTTTGATTGTTAACTGGTTAGTTTAGTGGTTGGGTTGCTAAATGGTTGGCTTGTTAAGCGGTTGCTTAAGTGGTTTGATTGTTAACTGGTTAGTTTAGTGGTTGGGTTGCTAAATGGTTGACTTGTTAAGTGGTTGGCTTGTTAATAAGCGGTTTCGTTCATAAATGGTTATGCTATTAAGTGGTATAGTTAAGTGGGTGGTTGGGTTGTTAAGCGGTTGCTTAAGTGGTTTGGTTATTAACTGGATAGTTAAGTGGGTGTGTTGTTAAGTGGTTGGCCTACTAAATGCTTGCGTTGTTAAGTGGTTGGCCTGTTAAGTGTTAGTTCTGCTTAAATGTCGAGTTTGTCGTTAATGGCAGAGTTAACGCTTAACACCGGACTGATAATGTCTGCTGTGTTTGTTTGTCCTGTCTGCTGTGTTTGTTTGTCCTGTCTGTTGTGTTTGTTTGTCCTGTCTGCTGTGCTTGTCCTGTCTGCTGTGTTTGTTTGTCCTGTCTGCTGTGTTTGTCCTGTCTGCTGTGTTTGTTTGTCCTGTCTGTTGTGTTTGTTTGTCCTGTCTGCTGTGCTTGTCCTGTCTGCTGTGTTTGTTTGTCCTGTCTGCTGTGTTTGTTTGTCCTGTCTGCTGTGTTTGTTTGTCCTGTCTGCTGTGTTTGTCCTGTCTGCTGTGCTTGTTTGTCCTGTCTGCTGTGCTTGTTTGTCCTGTCTGCTGTGTTTGTCCTGTCTGTTGTTTGTCCTGTCTGCTGTGTTTGTCCTGTCTGCTGTGTTTGTTTGTCCTGTCTGTTGTTTGTCCTGTCTGCTGTGCTTGTTTGTCCTGTCTGCTGTGTTTGTCCTGTCTGCCTGTTTGTCCTGTCTGCTGTGTTTGTCCTGTCTGCTGTGCTTGTTTGTCCTGTCTGCTGTGCTTGTTTGTCCTGTCTGCTGTGTTTGTTTGTCCTGTCTGCTGTGTTTGTCCTGTCTGCTGTGTTTGTCCTGTCTGCTGTGTTTGTCCTGTCTGCTGTGCTTGTTTGTCCTGTCTGCTGTGCTTGTTTGTCCTGTCTGCTCTGTTTGTCTGGAGGGAAAGGGACAAGTTGGTGTTTAATTGCAACATGTTCGTGCGGGTGTTTGATACGAATGGTGTTTTTCAGGTGTTTTATTGTCAGTTTTATGTAATGGGAAGGGGGGCGGGGGGACGAGCGAAGGGGGCGGGGGGACGAGCGAAGGGGGCGGGGGGACGAGCGAAGGGGGGCGGGGGGACGAGCGAAAGGGGCGGGAGATGGTGTAAGGGTCTCAAGGGTTGCACAGTTCACCGTCCTCTGACGTCACAGTCACTATTGCACAGTTGGTGTCCTGTCATTTGCACCTTGGAGCAGCTGGGTTGTTCCCCCTGTCACGTGACCCTAGTCACCGGGAGCTAATTCCGCGTCACACCACCTTTATCGATCCACCGTAAATATGGAAGATCACAGAGCTATGCCACATTCGCTCGGGATTCGTAGTCTTAAAGTTCCGGATTCGATCCCAAGCGGAGGCGGAAACAAATAGAGTTTCATTCATCCTGATGAACCCTGTTCACCTAGCAGTAAATAGGTACCTGGGAGTTAGACAGCTGCTACGAGCTGCTTCCTGGGGGATGTGTAACTAAAAGGAGGCCTGGTCGAGGACCGGGCCGCAGGGACGCTAAGCCCGGAAATCATCTCAAGATAACCTCAAATTATCCTGAAGATAACCTCAAGATAAGGGCTAAACATGAAGACCAGTTGATGCCTGGTCTCTCCGGTACAAGCAATTATCATAAGAAGGCACCAAGCCGGAGAGACGATGTAGGACCTACAGTGACGCTGGATATTCAAAATGCGCCAAATATCACTGAGGATGCCAATATGAAATCAAACACACACTGCGAGCGATGTCAGAGGTATCAGAGTCCGCAAGGATTTTGTCTACGAATAAATGACTGTGAGGGACATTAAGGAAAGCAAGACACACGATCGTCCTGAAAATCGGGACAATCCACTAGGAGGTGCACCAGGTGTCAGAGGGACAATGCACTTTGGACAATAAGGAGCAGGGCGGCGCTCCATCAAGTGCCGGTGAGTTTAGTGTGTTAGCCAATATGTAACCTAGCCAAAGCCGTTTCCCACCGGTGGTAAGATGAAGGCCAAGGGGAGAGGTTACCTTTAAGAGTGCACAGTTCGTTACCTGTAATCTCACACCAACGACCCTATTAGTAGTCTGGAATTGAAGAATAAATGACTGGATAGAGATCTGAAAAAGGAATGTTTTTTGTTCGTTTTGGAAATGGGACCAATGGGGAGAGCCTCCCTAGCGGCAGTATGAGCCAGCACATGTAACATAATACCAACATGGCTGCGAACTCGGCAAAACTCGACTGTCTTATGTCTGCTGGAGATAAGAAACGGCCAATGCTGAATACACAGAGAAATCACATTATCGTGATACATCAATGAGAAAATCCACCGGAGCCATGATGAGGATTCGACCTTATGCACTGGGTGTTCCCAAACACACGCTCTAAATGACTACGCCACGACATGAATTGCAACCTGGGGTACTATTTTTCTCCTTGGCCAATATTGAATTTCGACAGCAGGATACATAGTGTGAAGTGATTCCAGGGCCACTAGGGCATTGCAAGAGTCAACCACAAGGACAAAGGAATGTTGACGTCGGGAAAGCAGTTAAAGTGCAAACAAGATTGCATAAAGTTCCACCGTAAAGATGCTGGTCTCGGTAGGCAAGGCGGCGAATATGTGTTTGGTCAGGAAAGACAAGGAGTAGCCTACACCGTCGCCAGACTTACACCCATTTGTGAAGACGGCAATGGAGCTCGCGGGCAAAGAAAATTGTTCAAGGAAAAAGAGTTTCGTAACCGTAGGAAGGATAGAAGCCGTTACCATGTGGATGAAGGTCTTGCGAAACTTTGCAAGTGGGACTCTCCAAGAGGGCAAGGATAGAACAACCCGAAGAGAGATATTGCTAACATGAACAGAGTGAGGATCTTGCAAATGACACATCATCCGTACAGAGGAAGAAAGGTGGTGAAGGAGGGAGGGCCCACAGGAAGGGTAACGGTCAACAGGCAACATCAGCGAGAGTGAGGATGCTGCAGGCACCACACAGGGTAGCGAAGGACTCCGGGTTCAGCACACAGGTTCAAGGTGGAGGATGACCAGAGGCACCAGAGCTGAGGCCTAACCTAGCATGGTGCAGAGCATCAAGACGACGACGAGGCGAAGCAGAGCCGGAGGAGTAGGCGGGACAGCCATAATAGAGTTAAGACAGCACAAGAGACGAGTGTAGATAGAGGAGCGTGCGGCTATCAGCACCCCAGGAAGTATGGGACAAGACTTTACCTAAAGTAATGACCTAGATCATTCAACTCTGTGGCGATGCACACTTACAGCGTACGGCCCGGGCACAGCTGGAGTCCACCAGGGAACGCACTTCCACATGCAATGGCAGGAATAGCGAGGAAGACAGCGCAGGACAGTTTATAAGGAGAAGTAAAAAGAGAGGAGGATTTTGAGGGATAGGCAGATCAGATAGATCAGAAAGAGTAGCATTGAGGCTAAATAGACTCCAGTCAGCCTTTTCAAACCGCCACCGAGGGAATAAAAGAGTAGGGCAGAAAGAAATGAAGGTTACGAGGATAGGGAAATGGTGACTTGGAGGTGATCGAGGACCCCCCCCCTCCCCCAATATTAGATCTATATAAATAGAAGAGGAGCAGAGAGAAAGATAAAGAGTGGAAAGGGTGTGAGTCAACATGAGTACCTTTGCTAGAATTCAGGAGATAACGAAGAGAGAACAAATGGTTCGAGAAGTTGGAATAGTTCGGCCTCGAGTATTTGTCAGATTATCCCCCTAGAGGGCCTGCTAATAGTTGGAATCTCCCAAAAAGAAGCAGAGGCTCCGGTAATGAGTGAAACAGGAGTTTTAGATCAGAAAGAGAAAGCAGAATATGTGGAGGAGATAAATGGAACAGACTGTGTATTATTTACTCACAAAGATACAGGTGGCAAACGAATAAATGTTCAATTGAAAAAGCAGCAGAACAAGTGGAATATCATTTCCGAGCAAGAGAGCGGTAGAGTTAGGGAGTCCCAGCAAGAGAGCGGTAGAGTTAGGGGTCCCAGCAAGAGAGCGGTAGAGTTAGGGGTCCCAGCAAGAGAGCGGTAGAGTTAGGGGTCCCAGCAAGAGAGCGGTAGAGTTAGGGGTCCCAGCAAGAGAGCGGTAGAGTTAGGGGTCCCAGCAAGAGAGCGGTAGAGTTAGGGGTCCCAGCAAGAGAGCGGTAGAGTTAGGGGGTCCCAGCAAGAGAGCGGTAGAGTTAGGGGGTCCCAGCAAGAGAGCGGTAGAGTTAGGGGGTCCCAGCAAGAGAGCGGTAGAGTTAGGGGTCCCAGCAAGAGAGCGGTAGAGTTAGGGGTCCCAGCAAGAGAGCGGTAGAGTTAGGGGTCCCAGCAAGAGAGCGGTAGAGTTAGGGGTCCCAGCAAGAGAGCGGTAGAGTTAGGGGTCCCAGCAAGAGAGCGGTAGAGTTAGGGGTCCCAGCAAGAGAGCGGTAGAGTTAGGGGGTCCCAGCAAGAGAGCGGTAGAGTTAGGGGGTCCCAGCAAGAGAGCGGTAGAGTTAGGGGTCCCAGCAAGAGAGCGGTAGAGTTAGGGGTCCCAGCAAGAGAGCGGTAGAGTTAGGGATCCCAGCAAAAGCTTGTGGGAAGGAGGGTGAGAGATAGAGGAATAACCACAAGAGTACCCAGGTAGAGTGCCAAGCGTCGGCTCCTGGAGACAGATACAATACCGTGAAAACTGCGAGATCAGTATGTCTATTCGCCAATGGAATGTGTGGTTTTCATGTCAATTTTAATGAACTCCACCTTCCAGATCTGCGGCAACTGTGAGAAACTGCGAGATATCCAACATACAAGTTGGAGTCCATGAAAATTGACATAAAAACCGCATATATATTCCATTGACGAATAGACATACTCAAGTACAGATAGAACAGTAAAAAGAAAGAGTAAACCTATGGGAAAAGAACAGTAAATTACGGAGGATCAGCAGAGGGTTCAGTGAAATCCAGGTTGGTAAATCCAGATCAAAGACGATATAGTCAAGAAGGTGACAGGAAGGAGCACCGACTTGGTCCGATCAGGGAGGAGTCACTGGGAAGGTGGGTCGGGGATATGGGGGTGGGGTCGAGGATATGGGGGTGGGGTCGGGGATATGGGGGTGGGGTCGAGGATATGGGGGTGGGGTCGAGGATATGGGGGTGGGGTCGAGGATATGGGGGTGGGGTCGAGGATATGGGGGTGGGGTCGAGGATATGGGGGTGGGGTCGAGGATATGGGGGTGGGGTCGAGGATATGGGGGTGGGGTCGGGGATATGGGGGTGGGGTCGAGGATATGGGGGCGGGGTCGAGGATATGGGGGTGGGGTCGAGGATATGGGGGTGGGGTCGGGGATATGGGGGTGGGGTCGAGGATATGGGGGTGGGGTCGAGGATATGGGGGTGGGGTCGAGGATATGGGGGTGGGGTCGAGGATATGGGGGTGGGGTCGAGGATATGGGGGTGGGGTCGGGGATATGGGGGTGGGGTCGAGGATATGGGGGTGGGGTCGGGGATATGGGGTGGGGTCGAGGATATGGGGGTGGGGTCGGGGATATGGGGGTGGGGTCGAGGATATGGGGGTGGGGTCGGGGATATGGGGGTGGGGTCGGGGATATGGGGGTGGGGTCGAGGATATGGGGGTGGGGTCGGGGATATGGGGGTGGGGTCGAGGATATGGGGGTGGGGTCGGGGATATGGGGGTGGGGTCGGGGATATGGGGGTGGGGTCGGGGATATGGGGGTGGGGTCGGGGATATGGGGGTGGGGTCGAGGATATGGGGGTGGGGTCGAGGATATGGGGGTGGGGTCGAGGATATGGGGGTGGGGTCGGGGATATGGGGGTGGGGTCGGGGATATGGGGGTGGGGTCGGGGATATGGGGGTGGGGTCGAGGATATGGGGTGGGGTCGAGGATATGGGGGTGGGGTCGGGGATATGGGGGTGGGGTCGGGGATATGGGGGTGGGGTCGAGGATATGGGGGTGGGGTCGAGGATATGGGGGTGGGGTCGGGGATATGGGGGTGGGGTCGGGGATATGGGGGTGGGGTCGGGGATATGGGGTGGGGTCGGGGATATGGGGGTGGGGTCGGGGATATGGGGGTGGGGTCGGGGATATGGGGGTGGGGTCGGGGATATGGGGGTGTGGTCGGGGATATGGGGGTGGGGTCGGGGATATGGGGTGGGGGTCGAGGATATGGGGGTGGGGTCGGGGATATGGGGGTGGGGTCGAGGATATGGGGGGTGGGGTCGAGGGAATCAGGGTGCGGAGAGACAGGAGCGACAAGCTCTGGATCAAGGGCAGCACCGGGAGTCTCCATAGCGAATAAGCAGACTCCGTCTCCGAGGTGAGAGGAGATGCACGGACAGAGTCGGAAGTGTAGCGTCGAGGTTTGGGCTGGAGCTTTCTTTCCCACCAAAGAGGAAGGAGAGGAACCAGGTTTTCGTTCCTGGCTGCGAGACACAGACGGGCCAGCAGCGATGAACTGTGTCACAGCTTCCACAGTCTCAGGCGCCGAGGCAGAACGAGAGTAGACAACACAAGGACGTCTTCTAGGAAAATGGATATCGGCCTGGATTGGCAAATGTCGGGGAAGGTTAAAGGACAGAGGGGAACACTGAGAATTATAATGAGACTAAAGGTCATGGAGGCAACAGAAAACAGAGAATAAGGAAGAGGAGGAGGAGGGGAGAAGACACACCAGGACGACGGACAAGATAAGGCCCGGAAGGAAGGGTGGAATCACCAATCGAGGATTCTGGCGGATCACACTCGGTGCTGGAGATCGCAGAGCAGCGGGGGAGCTGGTGGAGGTGGAGGGATTTAAGGGAGGAGAGCTGATAGAGCTTGAGAAGAGAAGAGCGATGAGCCGCGCCATCATTGGTCACGTCACAGAAAGAGTTTAGATGGTGCACCTGGCGTTTTGTCTTGGGAGAAATTTATACAATTACGATGACGTTGACGATGGCTTCTTCGAATTTATAGTGCATGTATGTGCGGGAGAAGGTTGGTTCCTCACCTCAGTTAATGCAGCGAGCTGGAGGAGTAGAGCAGTCTGACCTGGAATGACCAGAGCCTCCACACAAGGAGCAAAGTGACGTCTCGCAAGTACAGCTTGCGGGACCATATCAAAATTTCCAACCCCTGTTGCAGAGGCGTATAGAGCGGCTACATCCCAAAATGGAGCATTTGGCTCACGCAAGAATTACGGAGGACAGAAGGGGCCTACCATCAACAGTCATCTTAATTATTGGAAGGAGCTGACGACGACGACGGTGTCGAGGGAATGTATCGGTCTGGAGGATGGAATAACCTTGGCCCTCGAGGATATATTTAATATCTTCATAGCAGTCTTTCGGATCCCTTTCTCCAGTCGCAGCTCAACGCAGAAGAATGACTATGCCAAAGCTGGCATTCAACGGGGCATTTTTGGAGGAGACCTGAACTGGGTTTTCATCAATACAGGACAAGGGCAGCTAGGCTGGCGGGTGGATGGCTGCGTCAGGAAGAGGGGGCCGCACTCCTTGTGTGCCAGTTGGGAACGGATGAAAGTAACATAGGTATCTATAGAGGTAATTAAGTGCTTAAGCATGTATAGGTCATCAAGACTCGTGTGTTCGTCGAGACAAAGAGCAAAATAAATAGCCTACGAAGCAGGGAGAATCAAATCCTGGAACGCAGCAGAGTTGAAAGGAATCACGCGTATTCCAGGACGAGCCGGGCGCCGGGAACTCCAATGAGAGAAGAGGAGGAAAACGGCATAGTTGTCTCAATGGAAGACGGAGCCACACCAGGTGACATGGTACACACTGGGGCTCTCAGCTCTTGGGGGGGGGGAAATATGGTTTTCGAGCTCCTGAAAGAGTTTTATAATAAACACAACATAAACTGAGAAGCAAAAGTGAGCCGTTCCATGTTCTAGCTCCACTAAGAGCCATATGTTCCTGCTGGACCCCTGGAACATAGCTCTAAGTAGCTGTTGCATGTTTGGTAAATATACTAATTACTGTTTCTGCACGTCTCATGCAACGTGACGTTACGGTGAACGAATTCACCGACAATAATGTTTTATTCTTTTATACAGCGTTGACCGTATACACTGAATCTCAATGATATTACATTTCATATTTTCTAAAATAATCATTTCGTAATATAAGAATTGTATATTTATATTCTTACAACAAAATTAATAAACATAATTATTAATATATACCAAAGAAATTAGTTTTTTGGGGGGCTTTAGCTAATCAACCTCTGGTGAGTTATTAAGGTCGCCACACTGACCAACCAGCAAGTTTACCTTGGCCTACCACGAAAGTAAACTCTTGGTGCATATGCACCAAGAAGAAGGGTATACACCTCAACAGTGTATTCTACACTTGTATTCTACAACAGGTGTATTATACACCTCAACAGCCATTACAAAAATTAATTAAAAAATTCTTCAGTTTTTTCCAGATGGTTTCTCGATGTCTAATGATCGTGAGATACAGACATTGTCGTACACGATGAAGCCAATACGTCTTTATTCAACAAATATTTTTGTATGAATTTCCCAATATCAGAGGAACAAAAAGGTCTTAGAATTTATCAATAACAGGCATAAGAAATTATTTTTTAAGAAGGATCAGGCAGCCATGATGATTATTGTGTGATGAGAATGAACTAAAGAAGTCAGAGTACAGCAGAAAACGAGGATTAGATTGCAACCGAGTTTGTGTTCATAGACAAACTCTGATGCCGGGAAATAATATTTCTACAGATTACACTGCATCCTGGAAATAATATTTCTACAGATTACACTGCATCCTGGAAATAATATTTCTACAGATTACACTGCATCCTGGAAATAATATTTCTACAGATTACACTGCATCCTGGAAATAATATTTCTACAGATTACACTGCATCCTGGAAATAATATTTCTACAGATTACACTGCATCCTGGAAATAATATTTCTACAGATTACACTGCATCCTGGAAATAATATTTCTACAGATTACACTGCATCCTGGAAATAATATTTCTACAGATTACACTGCATCCTGGAAATAATATTTCTACAGATTACACTGCATCCTGGAAATAATATTTCTACAGATTACACTGCATCCTGGAAATAATATTTCTACAGATTACACTGCATCCTGGAAATATTATTTCTTCTAAAACCCTAAGCATGTGGGGAATTTATTATGTTTAAAAGTAGACTAAGAATCTGAGAAATATTATGAGCATTAGTTAACTCAGCATCTTAGAAACGAATTTGGGAAAAAGAGAGGGATAGTATTTGATTAATAGCATTACGATCTACACACACTTGATCTGTAGGTGATGTGAACGAAGCCCCACACCACAACCACGGTTTCTTTGCCACATCCTGTCTGCGTAGATCATGTCATAACAGACCAGCAGAAGGCTCTCTCGCTAAACTTTCTTCTCCCCCAGATTAAGTTTGAGGCAGACAAATAATATCTACAATATGCTGACATGAACGAATCCGAAGGGTAATTAAATAGAAAAGGATGAATGATTAAGCCATTGCAATTACAGGGGTTTAAGACGCCTGTTTCTGCTACTGCTAATTTTACTACTATTATGGCTAATATTAATAATGAAAATATCAGTTGGAGTCAGGCAGAAGACTCGAACCTACTATATGGGAACTCTCAATCACACGTCTTAAACAACCAAACCACGATACACAAAAATAATGTAATCTGTGATTCAGATAAATCCCAGCTAGGTTACATAGCATTCCATCCTCATCCCTGCTGAAGAGGATCCCGTGTTGGGATCAAAATATTCCGTCTACATTTTCTCGCGTTTTCAAAATAGCGGGTTATTTTTTATTATACATGTTTGTAAGAATGTTAAGATTTAGTGTTGCCAAAACGTTCTACACTTTTTGGCTACCATCAGAATTAGCACACCATTGTACTGTAGTGTGGATGACTGTGACGATGGTGGAGAATTAGCATACAGAAGCATCAGTCACAGTTCATTTCTCAAGAGCATTCTTCCGGTATGGACAGGTATGTCACCTAGTAATGGGAACATTTTTTTGTTGTTGTTTTTTGAGATATATACAAGAGTTGTTACATTCTTGTACAGCCACTAGTACGCGTAGCGTTTCGGGCAAGTCCTTAATCCTATGGTCCCTGGAATACGATCCCCTGCCGCGAAGAATCGTTTTTTCATCCAAGTACACATTTTACTGTTGCGTTAAACAGAGGCTACAGTTAAGGATTTGCGCCCAGTAAATCCTCCCCGGCCAGGATACGAACCCATGACATAGCGCTCGCGGAACGCCAGGCGAGTGTCTTACCACTACACCACGGAGACTGTAGGAACATGTAGGCATGTATGACGGCATATTTTGTGGTCAGAAAGGGGAGTATTGGTTCATCTTTCTGCTGGCCTAAAACTTGTCCCGGTAGAGAAAAGACTGGTCTTAAAATTATTGAAAGTAGATTAGTTGATCGTGAAGTGGTAGCCAGGAGGGCACCCTATGGAGCCGATTAGGCAACCTGTCCTCCTACAACCTGTCCTCCTACAACCTGTCCTCCTACAACCTGTCCTCCTACAACCTGTCCTCCTACAACCTGTCCTCCTACAACCTGTCCTCCTACAACCTGTCCTCCTACAACCTGTCCTCCTACAACCTGTCCTCCTACAACCTGTCCTCCTACAACCTGTCCTCCTACAAAACACGTCGCTTTTCGATCGCATGCGTTATCCTAAGGCCAAAATAATTGTCGTGCTAGAAAATGGAAGCGGCTGGCGAAAGTAACATCCTGTCTCGTTTTCTGTTTTGGGTCCTCTGGTAGGTTAGGAGAGACCACTTTAAATTAAGAGTTTTCTTGACGTTAGGAAACCTCAGAAGGGATGGATTAGGAGCCCTCAGGCACTAACCACGGTACCACCTAATCTATCTTGGGATTGAGATGGAGTATCATACTTAAAGCTCCATCAAAGGTCTTAATTGAAGTGTTACTTGGCTTAGATAAACAATTATTTTGCTTATTTACTCCTTGAGAGAGAGAGACTGTAGAGTAAGAACAAGCAACGAGGCTGAGCTGGAACATAAGATCACAGGCAGTCAACAAGGATTTCCAGATCATGCCGAGATTAAACTAAATAATTGGGATTTAGCAGTAAGTTCCACAAATTTATTATACAACATTGTTATTATAATAATGCAGCAATATTATCTAGTGTTGGATAAATGAATACACTTACACATGCCCTGATTATTCTAATGTCTCCTTACACATGCCCTGATTATTCTAATGTCTACTTACACATGCCCTGATTATTCTAATATGTCTACTTAAACATGCTCTGATTATTCTAATGTATCCTTACACATGCTCTGATTATTCTAATATGTCTACTTAAACATGCTCTGATTATTCTAATATGTCTACTTATACATGCCCTGATTATTCTAATATGTCTACTTACACATGCCCTGATTATTCTAATATGTCTACTTACACATGCCCTGATTATTCTAATATGTCTACTTATACATGCCCTGATTATTCTAATATGTCTACTTATACATGCCCTGATTATTCTAATATGTCTACTTATACATGCCCTGATTATTCTAATATGTCTACTTATACATGCCCTGATTATTCTAATATGTCTACTTATACATGCCCTGATTATTCTAATATGTCTACTTACACATGCCCTGATTATTCTAATATATCTACTTATACATGCCCTGATTATTCTAATATGTCTACTTATACATGCCCTGATTATTCTAATATGTCTACTTATACATGCCCTGATTATTCTAATATGTCTACTTACACATGCTCTGATTATTCTAATATGTCTACTTACACATGCCCTGATTATTCTAATATGTCTACTTATACATGCCCTGATTATTCTAATATGTCTACTTACACATGCTCTGATTATTCTAATATGTCTACTTATACATGCCCTGATTATTCTAATATGTCTACTTACACATGCTCTGATTATTCTAATATGTCTACTTACACATGCCCTGATTATTCTAATATGTCTACTTATACATGCCCTGATTATTCTAATATGTCTACTTACACATGCTCTGATTATTCTAATATGTCTACTTATACATGCCCTGATTATTCTAATATGTATGCTACCTTTTATATTTCCATTTGGTTTTCCATACGTGACCATTTTCAAATGCGGAAAGGTGATGTTCGAATTATTAAGTAATCTTGAACGTGTGTGTGTGTTATTTTTGTATATATATATATATATATATATATATATATATATATATATATATATATATATATATATATATATATATATATATATATATAAAGATCATATCTGTCAGTCTTGGAGCTAATTATGCCGTAATTTGCTAAGAATTTACTGACAAAGTGGAGATGCAGTACACTGACTCTGTTGCCATCTTGTTTGAGAGGCTGAGTTATGCAATGATTTGTTTTATAATTATATTTCATATGCATTTTCTCAAGTTAGGTTTTTTTAGAGTTTTCTTGGATTTTCTCTCCAGACTAATTTTAACTTTGAGTCGCAGCAGAAACGAGGAGCTTGTCACCAGGCACTCCAGGTTGAGGTTAAGAAACACCAGTCACCAGGCACTCCAGGTTGAGGTTAAGAAACACCCGTCACCAGGCACTCCAGGTTGAGGTTAAGAAACACCCGTCACCAGGCACTCCAGGTTGAGGTTAAGAAACACCCGTCACCAGGCACTCCAGGTTGAGGTTAAGAAACACCCGTCACCAGGCACTCCAAGCGAAGAGGAAACTTTTCGAGGACGACCTAAACCCTCACAGTTCCCAAGCACTCAAGGGAACGGAAAGAATTTTCCCCCAATAAAAAACCAGGTGAATGTTAGGGGAAAACTTTGGGTGCCGGCCTTAAGTGCTGCGTAATTTAATATTGATTGATGGAGTGAAGTGGAGATAGAGAAGAGAGGAATATAAAAGTAGGAGAGATAAGGTGTGAGAAGAATGGAGGGAAGAGAAAGATGGAGAGGAGATAAGGAGGGGGGGGGGAGTTGTGATCGTCGATCAATATAAAGTCGAAGGATTAGGTCACCAATACTCCCGTTCTCTCGAATAATACACCGTATTTTGACGTACAAATCCCTCAAAGCCAACAACTGATGTGCTAAAAATCAAAGCGGTACGTAAAATTAACTGTGATGTCCCGTTTTCTATACGCTGTTATGAGGTTAGGTTGGGTTCGGGCAATTTAGTCCATGTGTTTAGTGACGTTGAGAACACTAGGGAGGACAGGCTGTTAAACATATGGGGCGAGTCCCCCCCTTCAAGTACTCACTATAGGAGCTCCACCCCTCTATAACCCCCCCCCCCCTCACACACCACCACCACCACCCACCCTGTCCTCCTAAGGTTCCCAACGTCAAGAAACTGACGTACTAAAGTGCCCCTCATCCTAACCTACCAGAGGACCCAAAACAGAAAACGGGACAGTTATGTCAATTTCGCCAGCCGCTTCCATTTTCTAGTACGATGATTTTTGGCCTTGTGGAGAGAATACGCCAAATGCGACGTGCTGTTATGAGGCCGGTTTGAACCACCACCACAATCACCATCACTCATTATACCACCACCACCAACAACAATAATATCGCTAATCACTATCAACACCACTATTGCCGCCACCACAGTCAAGACAATCACCATCATCAATAACATCAACACCATCAATAACACCACCAACACCATCAATAACACCACCAACACCATCAATAACACCACCAACACCATCAATAACACCACCAACACCATCAATATCACCACCACTACCATCAATAACACCACCAACACCATCAATAACACCACCAACACCATCAATAACACCACCAACACCATCAATAACACCACCAACACCATCAATAACACCACCACAACCATCAATAACACCACCAACACCATCAATAACACCACCACCACCATCAATACCACCACCACTACCATCAATAACACCAATAACACCATCAATAACACCACCACCACCATCAATAACACCAACACCATCAATAACACCACAACCATCAATAACACCACCACCACCATCAATAACACCACCACAACCATCAATAACACCGCCACCACCATCAATAACACCACCAACACCATCAATAACACCACCACCACCATCAATAACACCAACACCAGTATCAATAACACCACCACAACCATAAATAACACCACCACCACCATCAATAACACCACCACCACCATCAATAACACCACCACCACCATCAATAACACCACCACCACCATCAATAACACCACCACAACCATCAATAACACCAACACCATCAATAACACCATCACCATCAATAACACCTCCACCATCAATAACACCACCACCATCAATAACACCACCACAACCATCAATAACACCAACACCATCAATAACACCACTACCACCATCAATAACACCAACACCATCAATAACACCATCACCACCATCAATAACACCATCACCACCATCAATAACACCACCACCACCATCAATAACACCATCACCATCAATAACACCACTACCACCATCAATAACACCAACACCATCAATAACACCACCACCACCATCAATAACACCATCACCACCGTCAATAACACCACCACCACCATCAATAACGCCATCACCATCAATAACACCACTACCACCATCAATAACACCAACACCATCAATAACACCACCAAATTCAATAACACCATCACCACCATCAATAACACCAACACCATCAATAACACCACCACCACCATCAATAACACCATCACCACCATAAATAACACCACCACCACCATCAATAACGCCATCACCATCAATAACACCACTACCACCATCAATAACACCAACACCATCAATAACACCACCATCATCAATAACACCACCATCACCACCATCAATAACACCATCACCACCATCAATAATACCACCACCACCATCAATAACACCATCACCACCATCAATAACACCACCACCACCATCAATAACACCATCACCATCAATAACACCACTACCACCATCAATAACACCAACACCATCAATAACACCACCACCACCATCAATAACACCACCACCACCATCAATAACACCACCACCATCATCAATAACACCACCAACACCATCAATAACACCACCACAACCATCAATAACACCGCCACCATCAATAACACCAACACCAGTATCAATAACACCACTACCATCAATAACACCAACACCATCAATAACACCATCACCACCATCAATAACACCACCACCATCAATAACACCAACACCAGTATCAATAACACCACTAACACCATCAATAACACCACCAACACCATCACTAACACCACCAACACCATCAATATCACCACCACCAGTATCAATAACACTACCAACACCATCAATATCACCACCACCAGTATCAATAACACCACTAACACCATCAATAACACCACCAACACCATCAATAACACCACCAACACCATCAATAACACCACCAACACCATCACTAACACCACCAACACCATCAATATCACCACCACCAGTATCAATAACACCACTAACACCATCAATAACACCACCAACACCATCAATAACACTACCACCATCAATAACACCACCACTACCATCAATAACACCACCACCAGTATCAATAACACTACCAACACCATCAATAACACCACCATCACCATCACTAACACCACTAACATCATCAATATCACCACCACCAGTATCAATAACACCACCAATACCATCAATAACACCACCAGTATCAATACCACCACCAACACCATCAATAACACCACCATTAGTATCAATAACACCACGACCACCATCAATAACACCACCAACACCATCAATAACACCACCAACACCATCAATAACACCACCACCATCAATAACATCAACACCATCAATAACACCACGACCACCATCAATAACACCACCAGTATCAATAACACCAACACCATCAATAACACCACTACCACCATCAATAACACCACCACAACCATCAATAACACCACCACCATCAATAACACCAACACCAGTATCAATAACACCACTAACACCATCAATAACACCACCAACAACATCAATAACACCACCACCATCAATAACATCACCAACACCATCAATAACACCACGACCACCATCAATAACACCACCAGTATCAATACCACCACCACCAGTATCAATAACACCACCACAACCATCAATAACACCACCACCAGTATCAATAACACCACCACCAGCATCAATAACACCAACACCAGTATCAATAACACCACTACTACCATCAATAACACCAACACCATCAATAACACCATCACCATCAATAACACCACCACCACCATCAATAACACCACCACCATCAATAACACCACCACCATCAATAACACCACCACCACCATCAATAACACCACCACCACCATCAATAACACCACCACCACCATCAATAACACCAACACCACCATCAATAACACCAACACCATCAATAACACCACCACTACCATCAATAACACCACCACCAGTATCAATAACACCACCACTACAATCAATAACACCACCACCACTATCAATAACACCACCAACACCATCAATAACACCACCAACACCATCAATAACACCACCAACACCATCAATAACACCACCAACACCATCAATAACACCACCAACACTATCAATAACACCACCACAACCATCAATAACACCACCACCACCATCAATAACACCAACACCATCAATAACACCACCAGTATCAATAACACCACCACCAGTATCAATAACACCACCACAACCATCAATAACACCACCACCAGTATCAATAACACCACCACCAGCATCAATAACACCAACACCAGTATCAATAACACCACCACTACCATCAATAACACCAACACCATCAATAACACCATCACCATCAATAACACCACCACCACCATCAATAACACCACCACCATCAATAACACCACCACCACCATCAATAACACCACCACCACCATCAATAACACCAACACCACCATCAATAACACCAACACCATCAATAACACCACAACAATCAATAACACCACCAACACCAGTATCAATAACACCACCAACACCATCTACATCACCACCACCATCAATAACACCACCAACACCATCAATAATACTACCAACACCATCAATAACACCACCTAACATCAATATCACTACCACCAGTATCAATAACACCACCACTACCATCAATAACACCACCACTACCATGAATAACACCACCACTCCCATCAATAACACCACCACCAGTATCAATAACACCACCACTACAATCAATAACACCACCACCAGTATCAATAACACCACCAACACCATCAATAACACCACCACCAGTATCAATAACACCACCAACACCATCAATAACACCACCAACACCATCAATAACACCACCACCACCATCACCACCCTCACCATGACCAGTGGAGAGCAAGGAGAAGAGATAGACTAAGCACAAGCAGCCTCTCCAGGACTTCAGCTTAAGACAGTACAAGAGAGATTAACGAAGTGATTTACGACCTGGAGGTCAACCTTGCCGGCAATGACAACCTCACACCCTGAACACCAGCTGAAGGACAACAAGCTACAAACGGAGGAAAATGTTCATAGGGCAGAATAAAGCGTTCCCTATTCCTCTAAGAATAGAGGAATGACAATAAAGGAAGAATGGTAACAGAAGAGAATCAAACACGTAAAGAATGTTATTGAGAAATGTGAAACGAGATCAGGTAGAGAATTTGAAGAAGCAAAAAGAAAAAGAGAACAAGCAGACTGTTAAATGCTTTTAAATCGCAACTTGTCACATGTAGAACAGAGTGATTGGAATGGAAACTATCTGCGGTAATTACCAATCAACCAGACACAGAAGAAAACTCATGGAAAACGATGAAAAATACTCAGCAGTTATACCAAAAATGTTTCACAAAATTAAGGCGCGAGAATCAACCATGAAAATAGAACAATAATGTAGGTTGGGGAGGTTTCAAAATGCAAGAAATCGACTAGTAAATGTTATCCTTATGAAAAGTAGTCCGATGAAATATATACTGATAGGAAGGGCAGAATTAGAGGGATAGAAGGAAATATCACAACAAATACGATAGCCATGGCATGTTTAAGGTGGATAGGAGGATATGCAGGAAAGAAATTAAGAATTGCTGGGTGACAAGGAAACAGCGCTAGGAATGAACAAGAAATAGTAAGCCAGGCAATAACAAGTACACAGAGCAAGATAAAGACCTGTCCAGCCTAAAAAACTACCCTTCCAATGTGACCCTTGCAATGTGACCCCTGCACTGTGACCCTTGCAGTGTGATCCCTGCACTGTGACCCTTGCAATGTGACCCTTGCACTGTGACCCCTGCACTGTGACCCTTGCAATGTGATCCCTGCAATGTGACCATGCACTGCGACCCCTGCAATGTGACCCTTGCACTGTGACCCCTGCACTGTGACCCCTGCACTGTGACCCCTGCACTGTGACCCTGCGCGGTGACCCCTGCAATGGCCACTTTCTCCCACAATCCCCTGAGGGTCGGTTGTGGCCCGAGACGTGATGATACTCCACCAAGAGTTACCTCATGTCTCAGCGCCCACAGATCTCCTCCACACACCACAGAAACCGACAAGTTATTTATGGCAGACTCAAGTAATCTTTCTTCTACTGACCCTGCGGAAGGGTTAAAGTCGAGCAGGTAGACTAAACTAATTATTAGGGTAACATCTTGCCTCTACTTCCAAATCTTGAGTAATTGCCTGTGATTGTTGCTTATCCCATTAGCTCCCATTGTCAACCCATATCACTTCGGATTTAATAGGAAGACAAGATCTATTTACAATCAAATGGTCCTGATGATTGTTCCCCCGACAAGGCTTCCCTCGGGGTTAAGTGCAACATAAAAACTTGCGAAGCTTCTGGCCTAAGGAATGCATTTAATCAGGCGCGCCCCTTTGATCTCGCCAGCATCTTGCAAAATTGCATCTGGTGCAGGGAGCTTGGAACTCGCAGACGCGGTATTGTGACCACTCACCAGCTGTTACGGCCAGTAACAGCTCACAGTTACAGCCTGCTAGTTACAGTCTGTTACAGCCAGCTACAGGAATGTAGGTTGTGTTCTCAGACCGTCACCAGCACATCAGATATGAAGTTACTTTTAATTTGTCGTCTCGCGTCACAAGATAAACATTAATACCAGAGTTTCCCCCCCAACTATTTGTTTTGCTCCATTTTCCCTTTCACCATTGTTTACCATACAATTCTTTCTCTTCCCAATATTGTCTAAATCAAAAGGTGCATTCATTTTGCCCCTTTTACACGGTCCAAAGGTGCTGGGAGGACCATACACTTAATATACATGAATGTAATATTGAAAATCTTTTATATTATTAGCCATACATATTCATTTATTTGGAGTATTTTTATACTTTACTGCCTACTACTGCTATAGTAAGTTTTACAGATATTTGCTTATTTACTAGCTGTACCTGGCCATACGTTGCTATGGCTCAGCAACGCATGCACGTTGCTGAGCCACGGCAACCCTACCCTTTCCCCCTATCCTCCCCTATCCCGTCCCCTTGTCTTCCTAACCATTCCCCAGTCCACCGTTCCCTCGTCCTCCCCCCCCCCCTCACTCGTCTGCCTCCTCGTCTTCCCCACCAATACCCCCTCTCCTCTCCCCCTCGTCCTCCCCACCATTCCCCACTCCCTCGTCCGAAGCATTCCCAAATAATCTGATGTTCCCATCAGAAAAATGGGAACATCAAATGATCTAATTTTCCCATCCCTGAAAAGTAAGAACAGTTAAAAAAACGAAATGAATAAAAAACTAAAAATAATAAGCAATTCTCACAAAATGAAAGGTATGGTAAACAACACAGCTCAATTCCAATGCAATGTCACACAAAATAATTGAATCAAAATGAAAATAAATCCATATCTATGAAAATTCCATTTATCAATGCAATCGAAAACATTGAAATGGAATCGTATCATATTTAGTATAACGTGTGTTGCTCTTACGTGCAACAGATGGCGATGTTTTTCTAAAAAAGCATGTCTTTACCTGTCACAGGCGCGGCATGTATATAGTAGGTATATAAAAACACGCTCGTATGCGATTGGAACGTTGTATCAAAATTCTAAAGCAATCAGTGAAGAATTTTCGGAGATTTGCGATTTTGAACAAACGAACATTTAAATTTTCATTTATATAGAAGATTTTTTATATATACAAGAGTTTTTACAATCTTGTAGCATTCATTAGTTATTATAATAGCAATATATCTATATAATATCTATTTATTATCAGGTCCGGTCTATTATAGCAATAGAAAATGTTAATATTAAATGTCATTTTTCTTAGCTCTATTTAACATGAGGGGGAGGGGAATTTAACACGGGGGGGACTTTAACACGGCGGGTAATTAAGATATTGTTATTATAAAAGGTTTGGAAACACAGGCTTAACCTTTCAATGTCACTGTTCAGTGACACGCAGACGAACGACATTGTTATTATCGGACTGTCGGCTGTGTCGGCTGTGTCAGCTGTGTCGACTGTGTGGGCTGTGTGGGCTGTGTCGACTGTGTCGGCTGTGCGGGCTGTGTCGGCTGTGTCGGCTGTGTCGACTGTGTGGGCTGTGTCGGCTGTGTGGGCTGTGCGGGCTGTGTCGGCTGTGTCGGCTGTGTCGGCTGTGCGGGCTGTGTCGGCTGTGTCGGCTGTGTCGACTGTGTGGGCTGTGTGGCCTGTGTCGACTGTGTCCGCTGTGTGGGCTGTGTCGGCTGTGTGGGCTGTGTCGACTGTGTGGGCTATGTCGGCTGTGTCGGCTGTGTGGGCTGTGTCGGCTGTGTGAGCTGTGTCGGCTGTGTGGGCTGTGCAGGCTGTGTCGGCTGTATGGGCTGTGTCGGCTATGTCGGCTGTGTGGGCTGTGTGGGTTGTGTCGGCTGTGTGGGCTGTGTCGGCTGTGTGGGCTATGTGGGCTGTGTCGGCTGTGTGGGCTGTGTCGGCTGTGTGGGCTGTGTCGGCTATGTCGGCTGTGTGGGCTGTGTCGGGTGTGTGGGCTGTGTCGGCTGTGTCGGCTGTGTGGGCTGTGTCGGCTTTGTCGGCTGTGTCGGCTGTGTGGGCTGTGTCGGCTGTGTGGGCTGTGTCGGCTGTGTCGGCTGTGTGGGCTGTGTCGGCTGTGTCGGCTGTGTGGGCTGTGTCGGCTGTGTCGGCTGTGTGGGCTGTGTCGGCTGTGTCGGCTGTGTCGGCTGTGTCGGCTGTGCCGGCTGTGTGGGCTGTGTCGGCTGTGTGGGCTGTGTCGGCTGTGTCGGCTGTGTCGGCTGTGTCGGCTGTGTGGGCTGTGTCGGCTGTGTCGGCTGTGTGGGCTGTGTGGGCTGTGTCGACTGTGTGGGCTGTGTCGGCTGTGTCGGCTGTGTCGGCTGTGTGGGCTGTGTCGACTGTGTGGGCTGTGTCGGCTGTGTGGGCTGTGTCGGCTGTGTCGGCTGTGTGGGCTGTGTCGACTGTGTGGGCTGTGTCGGCTGTGTGGGCTGTATGGGCTGTGTGGGCTTTGTGGGCTGTGTGGGCTGTATCGGCTGTGTCGACTGTGTGGGCTGTGTCGGCTGTGTCGGCTGTGTCGACTGTGTGGGCTGTGTCGGCTGTGTCGGCTGTCCTGGAGCCAGATTCACGAAGCAGTTACGCAAGCACTTACGAACCTGGAGCCAGATTCACGAAGCAGTTACGCAAGCACTTACGAACCTGGAGCCAGATTCACGAAGCAGTTACGCAAGCACTTACGAACCTGGAGCCAGATTCACGAAGCAGTTACGCAAGCACTTACGAACCTGGGGCCAGATTCACGAAGCAGTTACGCAAGCACTTACGAACCTGGGGCCAGATTCACGAAGCAGTTACGCAAGCACTTACGAACCTGGGGCCAGATTCACGAAGCAGTTACGCAAGCACTTACGAACCTGGGGCCAGATTCACGAAGCAGTTACGCAAGCACTTACGAACCTGGGGCCAGATTCACGAAGCAGTTACGCAAGCACTTACGAACCTGGGGCCAGATTCACGAAGCAGTTACGCAAGCACTTACGAACCTGGGGCCAGATTCACGAAGCAGTTACGCAAGCACTTACGAACCTGGGGCCAGATTCACGAAGCAGTTACGCAAGCACTTACGAACCTGGGGCCAGATTCACGAAGCAGTTACGCAAGCACTTACGAACCTGGGGCCAGATTCACGAAGCAGTTACGCAAGCACTTACGAACCTGGATTCACGCCAGAACCTTTACACGAAGCAGTTACGCAAGCACTTACGAACCTGGAGCCAGATTCACGAAGCAGTTACGCAAGCACTTACGAACCTGGGGCCAGATTCACGAAGCAGTTACGCAAGCACTTACGAACCTGGGGCCAGATTCACGAAGCAGTTACGCAGTTACGCACACTTACGAACCTGGGGCCAGATTCACGAAGCAGTTACGCAAGCACTTACGAACCTGGGGCCAGATTCACGAAGCAGTTACGCAAGCACTTACGAACCTGGGGCCAGATTCACGAAGCAGTTACGCAAGCACTTACGAACCTGGAGCCAGATTCACGAAGCAGTTACGCAAGCACTTACGAACCTGGGGCCAGATTCACGAAGCAGTTACGCAAGCACTTACGAACCTGGAGCCAGATTCACGAAGCAGTTACGCAAGCACTTACGAACCTGGGGCCAGATTCACGAAGCAGTTACGCAAGCACTTACGAACCTGGGGCCAGATTCACGAAGCAGTTACGCAAGCACTTACGAACCTGGAGCCAGATTCACGAAGCAGTTACGCAAGCACTTACGAACCTGGGGCCAGATTCACGAAGCAGTTACGCAAGCACTTACGAACCTGGGGCCAGATTCACGAAGCAGTTACGCAAGCACTTACGAACCTGGAGCCAGATTCACGAAGCAGTTACGCAAGCACTTACGAACCTGGGGCCAGATTCACGAAGCAGTTACGCAAGCACTTACGAACCTGGAGCCAGATTCACGAAGCAGTTACGCAAGCACTTACGAACCTGGGGCCAGATTCACGAAGCAGTTACGCAAGCACTTACGAACCTGGGGCCAGATTCACGAAGCAGTTACGCAAGCACTTACGAACCTGGGGCCAGATTCACGAAGCAGTTACGCAAGCACTTACGAACCTGGGGCCAGATTCACGAAGCAGTTACGCAAGCACTTACGAACCTGGAGCCAGATTCACGAAGCAGTTACGCAAGCACTTACGAACCTGGGGCCAGATTCACGAAGCAGTTACGCAAGCACTTACGAACCTGGAGCCAGATTCACGAAGCAGTTACGCAAGCACTTACGAACCTGGGGCCAGATTCACGAAGCAGTTACGCAAGCACTTACGAACCTGGAGCCAGATTCACGAAGCAGTTACGCAGGCACTTACGAACCTGGAGCCAGATTCACGAAGCAGTTACGCAGGCACTTACGAACCTGGAGCCAGATTCACGAAGCAGTTACGCAGGCACTTACGAACCTGGAGCCAGATTCACGAAGCAGTTACGCAAGCACTTACGTTCCTGTTGCCAGATTCACGAAGCAGTTACGCAGGCACTTACGAACCTGGAGCCAGATTCACGAAGCAGTTACGCAAGCACTTACGTTCCTGTTGCCAGATTCACGAAGCAGTTACGCAAGCACTTACGTTCCTGTTGCCAGATTCACGAAGCAGTTACGCAAGCACTTACGTTCCTGTTGCCAGATTCACGAAGCAGTTACGCAAGTACTTACGAACCTGGGGCCAGATTCACGAAGCAGTTACGCAAGCACTTACGAACCTGTTGCCAGATTCACGAAGCAGTTACGCAAGCACTTACGAACCTGGGGCCAGATTCACGAAGCAGTTACGCAAGCACTTACGTTCCTGTTGCCAGATTCACGAAGCAGTTACGCAAGTACTTACGTTCCTGTTGCCAGATTCACGAAGCAGTTACGCAAGTACTTACGTTCCTGTTGCCAGATTCACGAAGCAGACACACAAGCATATGGGTGCTTGTGTGACTACATGAGCACCATCGAGCACAGGGTCTTAGTTGACAAGGACTTGAGACCCGCCGTAGGGTTAAAGAAACTGGTATGCTGGTATGTTGACATTTTTATGCAGGTACCTGATGCCAGATGTCTGCAGCAGCTGAAGGAGGCATTCGAGCGGAATTCTGTGTTGAGTTTCACGTACACACAATTATATATTATATACATAAAATGTGTGTGTGTGTACTCACCTAGTTGTACTCACCTAGTTGTGTCTGCAGGATCGAGCATTGACTCTTGGATCCCGCCTTTCGAGCATCGGTTGTTTACAGCAATGACTCCTGTCCTATTTCCCTATCATACCTGGTTTTAAAATTATGAATAGTATTTGCTTCCAGAACCTGTGTGTGTGTGTGTGTGTGTGTGTGTGTGTGTGTGTGTGTGTGTGTGTGCTGGATAGCATCGTAAATGTGGTAGAACACAAAAATTCACCCCTGTAGAAGACGCTATCATAGCGACTGGAAAACAGATTTGCTTTTCAGACTTTCCAAGTATTACAAGGAGCACAAGAATGATCCATGATGCTTTAAACTTTTGTTAAGACTTTTTGTTTCAAAATTTCACCACAAAAGTCTTAAATCTACGCCGGAGAGGATATCAGTAGGTGGGGGGGGGGAGTTCCAGCATCTTAATCTTCTTAATGGGTTGGTTATATCTGGTCATTGTGTGACCAATGCTTCGAGGTGCTAAGAGTCGTGTTCTTCCTACCTTGTTCTTTCTCCTTCTCCATAGCACCAACTCTTATCCTCCTGCTCCGAGGTACCATCATCTTATAGGCTTATAATCCTCCTCCTCCCCCTCTGTCCCTCCTTCTATACCTCCATTCTTCCTTATACCTCCTCTCTCTCTTTCTCTCTCTCTCTCTCTCTCTCTCTCTCTCTCTCTCTCTCTCTCTCTCTCTCTCTCTCTCTCTCTCTCTCTCGAGGGGTCAGCAGTTAGAACTCATTCATACCTAATCATCTATCATAGGAATCATACGAAGTTAAGTGCACGCGCGTGCACATCCCCACTCCCTCCCACCCCCACACACACCCACACTCCACACACACACACTTACACACACACCCACACACACCCACCCACACCCACACACCCACGCGCGCACACACACACACACACACAATCTGTTGTGTGTGTGTTTCAGGAATCTGTACACCTGTTGATTGACGGTTGAGAGGCGGGACCAAAGAGCCAGAGCTCAACCCCCGCAAACACAACTAGGTGAGTACACACACACACACCCTCACCCCCCCCACACCCCCACCCACACACACACACACACCCACACCTCACCCCCCCACACACACCTCCCCCCCACACCCCCCCCCCCACACACACACCTCCTCCCCCCCACACACACACCTCCCCCCCACACACACCCACAGCAAAACATCATTAGTTCCACCGTGACAAATATTCCAAGGGCGGTCGAGCATCTCATGTTCACTTAATTAACTGTAATGTTTACCTTCCACAGGTATCAACATGCCCCCCCCCCAAGACCCCCACCCCCCCAAGCCCCACCACCCACTCCCCCACCCCTCACCCCCACCCCTCACCCCCACCCCTCACCCCCACCCCTCACCCCCACCACCCACACCCCCACAGGAGCCCGGAACGTTGGCAGGGGAAGGGAGAGAAGCTGGCGCCCCGTAGGTGGACAGCTGGGACGGGAGAGAGAGAGAGAGAGTGGTTGATAAAGGAACGGGAGAGAGACAGGGAAGGGGGAGGAGGAGGAGATGGCAAAGATGGAGGAACAAACCTATTAATTAAGCACCCAGCCTCCTCTCCTCTATTTGGGATGGGGTGCGTGCTAGAGACAGCTAGAGGGAGAAACCAACCAGCAGACAGGCAGACACAGACGTAGACAGAGACAGACACACACGCAGACACAGACGTAGACAGAGACAGACACACACGCAGACACAGACGTAGACAGAGACAGACACACACGCAGACACAGACGTAGACAGAGACAGACACACACGCAGACAGACACACAGAGAGAGACAGACCGTGAGGAGTAAATAAGAGAAGTGAATGTCAAGACTCACCGGCCAGCGACATCTGGCAGTCTTCTTTGTTTACATTCTAGTGACCACAGCCACGCCCTCCCACGTCCTCCCGAGCTCTCCCACGCCCTCCCACACCCACCCACACCCTCCCACGCCCTCCCACGTCCTCCCGAGCTCTCCCACGCCCTCCCACACCCACCCACACCCTCCCACGCCCTCCCGAGCTCTCCCACGCCCTCCCACACCCACCCACACCCTCCCACGCCCTCCCACGTCCTCCCGAGCTCTCCCACGCCCTCCCACACCCACCCACACCCTCCCACGTCCTCCCGAGCTCTCCCACGCCCTCCCACACCCACCCACACCCTCCCACCCCCTCCCACGTCCTCCCACACCCACCCACACCCTCCCACACCTCCCACGTCCTCCCACACCCACCCACGCCCTCCCGAGCCCTCCCACGTCCTCCCACGCCCTCCCACGCCCCACCCACGTCCTCCCACGTCCTCCCACGCCCACCCACGTCCTCCCACACCCTCCCACGTCCTCTCACGCCCACCCACGTC